AATAATAATAATAATAATAATAATAATAATAACCGTTTTGATATATTAGAGGTAAATTTCAATATTTTGTTTGTCTATACGACCGTTATAGCAAATGCCAGAGTCAAGCTAGTCAGTTGTTACTCGAAGGGTATATTTAAGATGAAAGATAACGATGGGGATTTTCATGAACCAGCATATATGTAAACGAAAGATAAATTTAATACAAATCGAATGTTTAATAATCGTTCTAAAATTTTCTGCATATTGTAATTAACATATCAAAATCACAAAAAATATAGGAATGCAACCCCTATTTGTACATCATGCCCCTTTACAATTTTAAAATTAAAAAAATTTTAAAAGGCAGATCTCTTGTGTGTAAAAGTGAATCTCTCATATGTAAAAAAAAGAGGTAGGGTCATAAAACTAAAAATAAGTTTGTAAAGAGCCACAAAACCAATTGACCCGAAGACAACTCCGTGCTACATCATCTCTCATATGTCTTCAAAACTATTTCCACAAAAAAAAATATTACAATAATATAATTCTTGAAGAAAATACTTGTAGAGTTAGGAAGTATGCATATTACATTAGTGTATGTATTTCGATTATTTGCTTACCACATTTAAAGTCTCATAACTTACTAGTGTTTGCATGACTTGATTTGATTGGATTTTTTCCCCTTGTTATTCATATTTTAAGAGGTTAAATATCCAGTATAAATAATTCATCATGTTTTTCTTTTTTAATGTGAACATTAGTTATTCATTAAGTTACTAACTGAAAATGGATTGCATTCATTTGGTTTCTTTATTGTCGTTGTATATTATTGTCGAAGCAGCACCAAGCATGAGGGTCCTTAGCTCAGTGGTAGAGCATTTGACTGCAGATCAAGAGGTCACCGGTTCGAACCCGGTAGGGCCCTATTTTTTATGTTTTCCAATTCTTTATTTTCTGTATTTATATTTTGACTTTAAAAGAAATAAAAATAAATTATGGCCGTTGTTAATTTCAAAGTTGTAATTCCTATGACAGATTTTCATAAAATCTCAGTAAGTATAGTCTTTAATCTTGTTTTCTCATGTAGACTTCTCCATTCTGATCGTCTTTCTTTAACTTTGCCTTTATAAGTAAGATGCATATGCTAAAAAAAATAATTCTGTTTGACTGAAAAAGAAAAGTAAATTCCATTTTAACGCTTGGACCTAAGACATAGGGGTGGTAAATGGGCGGGTTGTTAATCCTCCCATTTTAGTACAAATAATTTTCAAGACTAATTAATATCAATAACCAAATGTGAGATAAAATAGTTCCAAAATTATAATTTATCCCGAGATTATAATTCATTGGCCCACGAATTATAAAGTAATGAGGCTTTTTCGTATATATATCATATATGAAACTTTCATGCTAATAGTATTTCTACCTAATATATACAATGCATTAAATAAGGAATCACTGTAATTTTATGATTCCTTATTTTGCGCGCTAAAAAAGGGGAATTAAATATTTTTCAGATCTTCCCCCATGCAAATCACGCACATTCCATAATTATCGTCGGCTTCACTCTGATCTTCCACAATGCAGAACAAGATTTTCATACTCTGTTTTTGCGATACACTCTGTTTCCAGAAATTCTCTCTACATCTCTCTCTATTTCTTAATCGCAAATTTCAGTAATACAAAACAAATGAAAAGAGAGCAGCAATTCCACCATTGACAGCCATTAAAAAGCTTGAAAGCTTTGAATTCAAATTTGGGTTTTCAAAAATCATTATTTATTTGGATTGGGTGTTGTTGAAAATAATCGGGAATATGGTTTGGAGTTTATATCTCAATTTTGAGGGGTTTTGGTGAAGATGAGACTTGGTTTTGACTGAATTTCAAATTGAAAGAAGAAGAAGAAGAAGAAGAAGAAGAAGAAGAAGAAGAAGAAGAAGAAGAAGAAGAAGAAGAAGAAGAAGACATATTGTGTAGAAAAATTGTAGACTGTTATTTATTTATTTATCTTTTATTCATTTATCTATTGTATGAAAGTTGAACAACAATGTATAAAAATTGTATTAAAGTGGATGATTTAGTACTGTTTTGGACAAAAATATGTATAAAAAAATGTGAAACATACATTTCAGGGGAAGCATGTCGATTCCAAATATGTACCCAGTTTGTAGATATTTTGTAGATAAATTGTAGATTATTTGTATTCTGATTGTAGATGCTTTATTTTCTGTTTTCACAAATAAAAATGGCTAAAACTTTTACAAATCTTCTGAAAAAAACGCAATTATGTCGAAAATCCCAGTTAAACTACAATCGAATGAGAATTGGGATATTAAAATTCAATATACCCAGTTTGTAGATATTTTGTAGATAAATTGTAGATTATTTGTATTTTGATTGTAGATGCATTGTTTTCTGTTTTCACAAATCCAAAACGACTAAAACTTCTACAAAATCTTCTGCAGAAAAACTCAATTATGTCAAAAATACCAATTAAGCTACAATTGAATGGAAATTGGGATATTATAATTTAATGTACCCAGTTTGTAGATATTTTGTAGATAAATTATAGATTATTTGTATTTTGATTGTAGATGCTTTGTTTTCTGTTTTCACAAATCAAAAATGGCTAAAACTTTTACAAATCTTCTGAAAAAAACGCAATTATGTCGAAAATCCAAGTTAAACTATAATCGAATGAGAATTGGGATATTAAAATTCAATATACCAGTTTGTAGATATTTTGTAGATAAATTGTAGATTATTTGTATTTTGATTGTAGATGCATTGTTTTCTGTTTTCACAAATCCAAAACGACTAAAACTTCTACAAAATCTTCTGCAGAAAAACTCAATTATGTCAAAAATACCAATTAAGCTACAATTGAATGGAAATTGGGATATTATAATTTAATGTACCCAGTTTGTAGATATTTTGTAGATAAATTATAGATTATTTGTATTTTGATTGTAGATGCTTTGTTTTCTGTTTTCACAAATCAAAAATGGCTAAAACTTTTACAAATCTTCTGAAAAAAACGCAATTATGTCGAAAATCCAAGTTAAACTATAATCGAATGAGAATTGGGATATTAAAATTCAATATACCAGTTTGTAGATATTTTGTAGATAAATTGTAGATTATTTGTATTTTGATTGTAGATGCATTGTTTTCTGTTTTCACAAATCCAAAACGACTAAAACTTCTACAAAATCTTCTGCAGAAAAACTCAATTATGTCAAAAATACCAATTAAGCTACAATTGAATGGAAATTGGGATATTATAATTTAATGTACCTAGTTTGTAGATATTTTGTAGATAAATTATAGATTATTTGTATTCTGATTATAGATGCTTTGTTTTCTGTTTTCACAAATCAAAAACGACTAAAACTTCTACAAATCTTCTGCAAAAAACGCAATTATATCGAAAATTCCAATTATGCTACAATTGAAATGGGAATTGGGATATTAAAATTTAATGTACCCAGTCTGTAGATATTTTGTAGATAAATTGTAGATTATTTGTATTCTGATTGTAGATGCATTATTTTCTGTTTTCACAAATCCAAAACGACTAAAACTTCTACAAAATCTTCTACAAAAAACGCAATTATGTTCTTTGGTCATAGATTAAATTTAAAAAAAAAAAAAATTGGAAACAAGGAGCTCTTCAGATCCTGACTAGCCAACTAAGTCAAATGGTTTGCATGAAACAGAAGTACATACTAAAAGTTACTCTGCAGTAAAAGACATTGCCATTTATGAGATTGGACGAATCTTTATGATTTAAGAAGAATAATATTGAAATAACACATGGAGCTAAGTTAAAGTTTGTGACAACATGTACATATAATGTGCAAAAATATCCAACGCAAAAGAAGAGTGTCCAGCTAGTGGAAGCCTGGGAACAACAGATTTCGCAGATCTGAATGAATTTAACTAAAACATCCTTCAACTCCAACCCGAAAGAATTGTGTTCTGGATATTTTACACAACTGAAACGTAAAGTAATGCTCATTCTGGAAGCCCAGGAATCAATTTCTAAACTGATAAGCTACATAGATTTCAAAGAACGGAACGCCTAGTGAACAGTTCTAATTTTAGTATTAACAGACCATGTTACAAGTTAAATATGTAGAAGTACTGGTGTCAAAGATTCTCCTGGTATCTGAACCAAAAACATATGAAGGAAAAAATAGGGCATGAAGAAAAGAAATCCCTCACTAAAACGTGAGTGAGGGTGAGGGTTTGGGAGAGAGAAACGTGGGAAGGGTGGGATATACGGTACCTTGAATTAAGGAGGGATATACGCTGCATTAATTGTACCCTTAAAATACACTATGGTATAGAATTGATAATTTGGTATATTAAATATAATTATATCAAAACTTAAACATTGAGGGTAATAAGGTTTCCTATATGGTATAGGAATGTAAAAATTCCTAAAGTAATCCATATTTAAGGAATAAGATATATGGAAGAAGAATGAACCTAAATATAGCCTTCCACCAAACCGCTTAATCTAAAAATATTCGACGAATATATAAAATTTATGAATATCGGCTAAAAAAAATAGTGAATCCATATGGAAAGACCTAAGCCAAACCGGTAGGTTTAGGTCTCTCTCTCTCCATTCTACTAACCCCTTACCTTTCTCTTTCATAAATTAATCATAAAAGTAAAAAATTACTCCCTCGGTCCCAATTTTGTTTGATGTTGTTCGAATTTAGAGAGTCAATTTTTTAATTTTGACCGCGAATTCAGCATATATTCTTGAAGTTTATTTTTTAAATCAAAAAAATATTATAAGTCACAATAGTTAGCAATTCAATTAGCATAAAAATTGTGGTAAACAAAAACTCAATCGATTCTCAAAATCTGAATTGCATCAAACAAATTCGGGACAAGGTTGGAGGTGAAGGGTGCTTTTCACTTGAGCAACTCTCTCTTGTCCGACGAAATTCTAGGAAAAATAGGGCAAGAGGGAAAGAAAGAAGAGCTATGGGTTTTGTCACTTGAATATTAAATTCATCTAGTTTTATTTAAGAGTGAAAGTAGATATTCTCCAAATTAATAGATACGATGTTACATCATTTCAACCAAAAATAAGGGAAAACAGTCATCAATCACAAACACGTCCTTTAGTGCATTTCTCTAATCAATAGATATCAACTATAAAACCATAGATTTTTTCTCTATAGTTTCTTCCTCATTTTTTTCAAACCACATCATATTGTCGATCTGCGTGGTTGACTTTCTAGTAATAATTTCGGGAATTCCATAAAGATTATAACCTGAATCAGATCGATTCTTTTTTGAATTTCTATTCGTGCAATTCCCTCGACGCCAAAGAACGTTTTAATCTCCTGCATGGGTTGGCAATTCATTTCTCAAAGGCATTGCATGTTTTTCAATATCCACAACAACATTATGATCATCATCTTGAGAATTATTATACTCTTTGAAATGAGCAATTCTTCCCAATTCTTCAACTTCTTCAATAACAAGATCAAGCCTTGCAACAATTTCAACTAATAAAGCAGCAAATGCAGCAAATGGCAAAGCATCCGAAAATTCAAGACTAGTAATAGCAATCTTACTCAATGTAGGCCTCAAAGATTTTCTCTCATTATTTTCATTAGTGCTACCCCTTTTGGATTTCCACTCGAGCAACGCGGACGTATCGGTCTTTACGCTCGATAAAGTGACCCTCCGGGAGTTCAGTGCACCTGACTGTATGCCGATTGTTGCTAGGGCTAACTTGTTGGAATTATTTTTGGACCCAATGAAGAGTTTTGGTTGGGATTTTATGGCATTATCTAGGTCTTGTAAAGCTTCGTGGAGGTGATCGGATAGTATTTCTGGTGAACATTGACGACGATATCTTATACTATCTCCTAATTCTTTTAAAGCTTTTGTAACTTCTCCAGCTAGTCTGATACATGGATCTTTGAACATTGCTCGAACCGATCGAGGCGTCTGAATAAAAATTCAATTAAGAGTTTAAGTTCTATGCATTAGTAGAAATAATATTTAGAAAATTAGGTCACATAAGTATTCATTGGTAATAAATAAAAATAATACTATTAACATATTATTATAAGTTATTACTTCGTACACTGATCGTGAAAAAGAACTTTACGTGTGGAGGAAGAAAGTTGAAGAATTAACTTAAATAGTCGTCAAGTCAACCTCCTGGACTAAAAATAACTGGGATGGATATATAATATATGCATAATTAACATGTGTAGGACTGTTATATAATCAGTATATAGTCTATGTATAACGATTATGAAAATTAAACAGTAAATCTGATCGAGTATTTGTGTAAAGATCCCAAGAAAATTGTACCTGAATTTCAGTTTGGAGACATCCATGTAGAGCTACAATTGTGTATCCAAAATGGCGAAGAACATTCCCCAATTTAACATATTGCTGCCATGGAAATCTGTAACAATGTCTCGAATGCCTTGGCTCCCAACTCGCGTATAATGCCTGTTCCACTCAGATTAATTTTGGTTATATACAGACAGTAGCGTACGCAGAATTTTACATGAATAGTATCCATTCAACTACTATGTTAATTTGGGTCTAGATATGTAGGGTAGAATTTATGTTACGCGAATTGTTCATTTTAGCCGTCGGTGTCCACACGACACTGGTATTGGTAACGGTACGAGACTCTTATCAGGTGTGATCAATCGAGATCGGGTACTATGACCATAATCCATAGACAAATATGATGAAAAATAAAGAATGAAAGAGTGAATTTTAGTTGTTGTCTGCTAGTGCCTAGTGCGTACAACTTGAAAAATTCTCAGAATGAAAGATTGATTAGTGGCTGCACTTCACAACATATAAGTTTTCCACATAATAACTCATAATTTTGGATAATTTATGTATATCTATTTTTAAAATTTTAAATTTTTGTACCCGTATCCATACCTTGAACCATATCCCCAAATCTTAAAATCTAGATTATGAAGGATCCCGACCTCTAAATATACACCCGGATCAGCTTTCGCACCCGAGTCCTAGCAACATATATTCTAATTAAGGTTTTACTTATTGTCTCAAATTGACGTTTATCTCGTACTATTTTCAAGGCGCTTTTGGGTTTATTATATATGAATACATGATACACCTTCTATAAACTGACTGTGTAAAATAATTCTTGCACTATCAAATTGCCTAAAATATATTTACAAATAACTATACATTATAACTTATAAGTGTGATTAGTATTTAGTAACCTAGAGAATAAAGCTATCTTACTTGCTATAGCAGGATAAAATGCATCGAAATTTTTTTCTGCACTGTCATTTATATATAAATTATAAATCCATTATATATATATATATATATATATATATACATGTTATTTCTTTTAGAATATTATTACATATACATTTAGTGAATTTTTTGAGAGAAAATTCAACTACTTACCAGGGTCTCATCGAATGATTTAGAATCCAAAACAGTCTTATAACCATTGTATATAGGATCCTCCAAATCTGACGAATTTTCTCTTGCTTTTTGTTGTTCCTCATCTCTGAAATACTCACTAACACAAGCTGCACATTAAATTGAAAGTACTCATTAATTTCCTATATCAATGAATTATATATATGGCATCAAATAAAAATGAATTTTATATATATATATATATATATATAAAAGAAAATGAAAATACATTGTGCTTGTTCCATTTCTAAATTTGGCCATACCTTCAATAGATTTTGCTAAGCCTTCAAATTTAGCAGCAGTGAAATTATGAAGGTCTTCTCCTGACCAATTTGGAAGTATCAATAGGCTCATGAGAAGACATATACCACAACCAATAGCTATAGTATAGAAGCGCTCGTGCGCAATTCTTAACACGTTATCAACACGATAGCTTGATACTGTGATCAAGTTGAACGTCAAGAGAAATATGACCACACCATAGTCATAATTTTTCTTTATGTAGGGGAAAAACCTCATGTACGTAGCTGCAGCTCCTGTAAAAATTGAAAATAATCAAATAACAATTAGTCATGAGCAAATGCCTCAATATTAATATTAGTGTTTTCTTGTTTTTCACCCGATGTTTGGTATTAGCTTCGAAACCTGACTAATCTATATTCGTAATGGGAAGTCCACTTTTTGGTGGTAAAGCCTCCCTACCAAAGGCAATTCCATTCCGAGAGTTCGAACTTGAGATTAGTGGCGGAGCCAAAATTTTCACTAAAGGGTATCAAAATATAAAATTTTAAATACGCTGTAAAATGAAAGGGATTCAATGTATAGTATACATAAAATTAATTTTTTATCTAGCAATACAGTGTAATTTTTCCATGAAGGAGTGTCGGTTGACACCCCTCGGTTGAATGTGATTCCGCCATGCCTGAGATCTCTAGTTAAGGATAGAGGGGTATACTTTTCACCCCGCCACAACCTTTAGTGATGTTATAAATAGTAGTTGGAACCAAGGAAAATCCAAATATAGAGAATAAATAACTCTTTATATCAAACTTGATATAATAACATGAAACTTACCAATGAAAAAAACTGAGGCTCCAATGAATATTGCTCGAAATATGTGGCCAGATTCTGTGGCAACGTATTCAATCAAGAATGCCAATGATCCTGCTAATAGTGTTCCCAATCCTCTATTTAAACCTTTGCATAATGTTGCCCCTATCATTTAAAAATAAGAGAAAAATATTAGGAAGTACACGAAAAAGATTTTTTATATTATCAATTCACCTGAAAGATAACTATAGGTAATCATACGTCTATAATAAGCGAGGTTAGTAACCTGAAAACTAAGGCATTCATCAGATTACTTTCTACAACAGATTCAAATAAACAGATAGTATGAAAATTCTTTACATTGTCATTTAGTGGCGGAGCTAGGAATCTTAATAAAAGGATTCAGAAAAATGCAAGAATGTCATAACTAGGATTCCGACGTGTAACTTTTATTTTAATTTTTGAACCCCCTGTTGATAAATTAAAAGTTTTTCATATGTCAAGCAGTGGCAAAGCTAGAAATTTCTCCAAGGATGTTCAAATTTAAAAAAAGTGAAAAACATTCCCGACAAAGGATGTTCAAAATATATTATATACTTCAAAAACGTGATATTTTACTTATGTACATAATGTAATTTTTCAATGAAGGGTGGTCAATGACCATGTGGCATCGCCACTGATGCCAAGGGGATTCAAAACCTTATATACATGCAAGAAAAAGTTGTTACTCAATTTGCGAGCATAGTTTTTCGATAAAAGGGAATCAATTGAATCCCTTCATTGAGCAGCTTCGCCACTGTTGTCGGTATATATAAGTTAAACTCTAACGTAAAAGAAAAAGGAAAAAAACTTTACCTGCTGTGAATTCAAGAACAACAACCACAGTCATGACGGCCCAAATAGCACTACTTCCAAAACCTTTGAACAATGGCTCCATTAAATATAACAATGAAACCAATGTCAAAGAAAAACCAACTTTGAGTGAATGAATAACTCTTCTTGGATCATCTTTGCCAACTTTCCAAATTGTTTTCCATGTTATTTTTGGAAAATTTTTCATTTTTTTCCCAAGAATATTCATTCTTTTCTTCATAATTGGTACCCAATTAGTATTATTATCTCCACTCACCTCCATTTCCACTCCCATATTGGTGAATATTGATAAGAAAATAAGTGGAGATTTCGTATTTTCTTCAGTTAAAAAATGGCTAGGCCATGCAAAAATATAAAAAAATTGAGGCTATATTTTCTTGAAAGGCTATGTTACTACAACTTATTGAGAAGGGCTTTCATTGCTTTATAACATGGAGAAAAGAGATTTGTGACGTTACTATATTCACATGTTTCTCAATAAAGTAGTTTGAGACATTAAATATGTTCATTAGCTTTTTAAATAGACATATATAAAGTCAATATAGACAAGAAAGAAGAAATTATAACCAACTTATGTGGAAAAAGTTGGTGCAAGGAGGTGATTAGAATTTTCTATAATTTATTATTATAGAAAATGGAATTTTATAATGTTGGAAGTTTCTTTATTACTATTATATAATATTAAAAGGTTTAAAATTAATCGGTGCGGGAGCTGCTTCAATAGCTTCGGCAGATGTAACAAAAATAGTAATGTATATACTATATATTATCAACATTAGTTAGCTTTATTTACACCACCTGCAATATTGGAAGAGTTTGGGATATATATATATATATACCATATATTCATACTATCAATATAATTTAGACAATTATAGCATGTTATTATTCTATTTTTCATGTTATCATGTTCAAGAGCAGAGCTAAAGTATGGGTTCGATCGAAATCAGTAACTTTAATCTAAACTTATATTTGTACTAAAAATTTTACTAAATATATTACTAACACTTTATGTCGCTATCCTAGAATTTAGAACTCATAAGATTCAAAATCCGGCTCCGCCTCTGACCATGCTAAGTTTGATATGTAAATGTACGTGTTGTTGTATAGGTTAATATAACCTAATAATGTTTTTTTTTTTTAAAAAAAACTTTTAAATTGTTATAAACCCTTAGCACAATTGTGGTGCAAAAGCCCTTCCAATATGAGTTGAAATTATTGCATGAAAATATTATCAAAGCTTTTTAGATCACGAGCTATTTGCTGTGAAAGGGACAGAGGGTGGGTTTTGGGGGGNAAGCTGGAAATGGAAATTAAAATTGACTCTTTGATTCTTTCTCGTGTACCTCAACTTCACCTCTCCCAAATCAACAGTTAATATTGTGCCATGTTTCGATCGTCCATTTGCCCAGGTGTCACACAGCTAGGCATCTTATTGTTGACATCCACGGGCCGAGATGTAGAGGATCAACCGTGATTGAAACTTTCAAGTTAGAAATTGATCCAAGATTTTAAGTAGGTAAATATAAGATGTATTAAAAATGACAGGGATATTGTACTTAATATATTGTTGGTGTGGAATATGGATATTGTATTACTTGATTAAATAATAATTCTGCTAAAGTATCTTACAGTAAGTCTTAAATTAGTTTAAAGTAGAAAGGAGAACAGGTTTGAATTAATTTCCCTCCCTTCTGTGTTTTTTCATATGAAGGAGAAACTCCTAGACTTTCTTTCACTCAAAAAAAATTAAATAATTCACTTATATAAAAAAAATATAATTATTAAAATCTTATAGTCAAGTCTGTTTAGAATGACACTACTCGCACTTTCAAAGAATAGTACTATGATAACTAGCTGCCGCAATATTGCTTTTTTTGAGCCGAAAATCTATCGAAAACAGTCTCTCTACCTTCACAAAGAATAGTACTATGACAGCTAGTTGCCACAATATTGCTTTTTCCGAACAAGGGTCTATCAAAAACAGTCTCCACCTTCACAAGGTAGGAGTAAGACTACGCAAACACTACCCTCCTCAAACCTCATTAGTAGGGTTGCACAAGTAAGGTAAGGCTGCTTTTTGTGAGCCAACGGTCTATCAGTATGGCCTATTGTTGTTATAACAGTGACGACCGTACCAGCTTGCACACACCTGACTATTCTATCGAATACCTGCTACCTCCCTCTAACTAGTAGTTAGATATTCATCAACTCTAGTTCCATATCATAAATAGATTGGTACATAGTATCCACATTCCAGCCTAGATAAATTCTAAGATGAGAACCACATCTTAAAGAGAAAAGGACATTTGTTAAGACCTCTAATAAGCAAACATCATTGCAGCAAAATACACCAACTTGGCAGCTGTTTATTTATTATGCTGACTCAATCAAGCATAAGCATATGTTTAAGACAATACAGTAACTTGAATATTGTCTAAACCTCCAAAAGATAATTTATGAGCATTTGGGATGAGGCCTATGAGGTTGCACCAAAGACCCTGATCCTCTGTTCAATTGGAACACCACAGCACGGACATTTAGCCCTACCCTTCTTCCCTTTGTCATTACAATTCGCGCACATAACTTGATGAGCGCAAGGTAGGAAGACAATTGAAACTTCATCCTTCTTGCAAATTAAACACTCCCTATCGGAGCTACCCTTCTCGGAAGAATTCTCCAATCTGTCCAACTCATGTAACATCCTTGCAATATCAGCGTGGGGCTGTTCACCGTTAGAGTTACCTGTTGCTAAATTAGCAGACTGATTCTGCAGCTCAGTAGACGCTTTAAGCCGAGAAAGATCCTGTTCAAGCCGTTGGAGGTCATCCTTGTGCCGCTGGAAGTCTATTTCTATCTTCAGTCGCAACGCCTCAAGCTTTCTTTTGTTAGTAGCCTCGGCTGCTTCTTTGAGACGTTGTTCTTCCTCTACTTGTGCCACGGCTTGCTCCTTAGCCTTCTGTTCCTGCCTCCACTTTGCCTGATAAAAATTGATAACATAACGAATTGACAAATTTTGAGCAATTAAAGAAACTTGCTATTGTTCAACAATTAAAGGAATACAGTGGCAAGAATTCAGGCAAAATGAAAATGAATCGAAGCACATTTCTTTTCATCCTATTTCCCCTCTTCAGATAAGAATGGATATCTATGCTTTTAAATGTTTCTGAACATGAATGAACAAACGAGTCTTTCAAAACAAATAGACACATCCACTCTTACAAAATAAAACTGAGGTTGCCGATTGATGTGTCAAAAGAAACTGAAGCTTCTACCATAAAACACCATATTTTTATTATTCAATTTCATAGTGATAAATAGCTATAGCTTACAATTTACTGTTGGAAAAAAGGAAAACATAAGGTTTCTGATGATCTGCAAAATCCATTGAATATTTGAACTTCAGAAGATAATTTCAGGAAGTCTACCACACAAGTAAAACTATCTCGTCTTTGGGAGATGAATATATTTGTCATGAAACAGGAGAATAGCTATTTATATGTCTATATCAGTTTAGAGTATCAATCAAGAAGCGGATGCCTTGGAACAACGGTAAAATTGTCTCCGTGTGACCTGTAAGTCACGGGTTTGAGCCGTAGAATCCGCCACTAACGTTTGTGTTAGGGTAGGCTGCATACATCACAACCCTTGGAGTGCAGCCTTTCCCCGACCCTGCATGAACGCGGGATGCCTTGTACACCGGGCTGTCGTTTTTAGCAATCAACTACTCCTCAATTCCAACTAGTTTGGGTCCACATGGAATACAACAAGGTGACTTCAGGATCACCCATTCTAGTAGTAATCTTGCCAAGCACGCATGCGTCAATCTCAACTAGTTGGGGTCAGCACAGTGTTTTGGATAGTGTGCGGCGACAAATATCGATGAGGGCCAGCTTCACTGAGGCGAGAGGCGCGCAGCGAAGCGCTCGCCTTTTTGATGTGAAACGACAATTTATACAAAAACATAAAATATTATATACATATAACTAAAAACTCAATAACTATAAGTCTATAATTGAAAAAACAGAGCAAACAAAAAGAAAGGGTTACTGCCTCTGCTCAGAGCAAACAAAAAAAAAGGGTTACTGCCTCTGCTCTGCCTCTGGTCAATGTCCAAAAACAGAACCCAAAAAAAAAAAATTAAGCTCCGGTCGAGAAACAGAGCAAAGAAAGAAGAAGAAAAACAGAGCAAAGAAAGAAGAAGAAAAACAGAGCAAGAAAGAAGAAGAAAAATAGAGCAAAGACAGAAGAAGAAAACCAGAGCTGAAAGAGCCGATCACCGAAGAAGAAGAAAGGAGAAGAAGAAGAAAAGAAAAGAAAGTTACATACCCGAAGTGGTCGCTAATGGCTGATGATGGGAGAAGAAGAAGAAGATGTGAAACCCAAGCCCTAATTTTGTCGCTGAAGGAGAAGAAGTGATCGCTGCTTGTAAGAAGTGAAACCCAAGCCCTAATTTTGTGTTTTAGTAAAAATAGCTGCCTTTTCTTCCGTTATTTTCGAATAGTGACGCCTCGCAGCGCCTCTCGCTACACAGGCAGAGGCGCTTGCTTTTTCTTCTTCGCATCGCAACAACCCAGAATGGCAACACTGTCTCGCCTCGCGTCGCTACACGCTTTTAGCGCTGTAGCGCTCGCTATTTACAACACTGGGTCAGCAAGTTATACAACACAAGGACTTCCCTGGAAATCACTCATCCTAGTACTATCTCGTCCAGGCATGCTTAAGTTTGGAGTTCTAATGGGAAGTGGTGGTATGATCACATTCCTCACATAATTTTCTCTTTTTATGACTGTGGTGCCGGGACCAGCTTGCGCGCACCTCAACTAATTCCACGGGATACCTGTTACTTCCACCAGCAACAGGTACCAGGTAACTCTATCTACCAAACAGATGAAAAGAAATCACCTAGTGTTTTTTGTCTGTGCTGGGAACTGAACCTGAGGTTTCATAGTTCTAACCCACTTCATTGACCACTAGGTCACACCCTTGGATGCAAATTCCTCACATAATTTTAGACCTTTTTCGTAAATATATAATAGGTCTAATTTTAAGCGGGATGTCAACATACCACAATCCTCTCCCTTTATCCCGACTTAAAACTAGCTATGGTTGAACACAGGCAAAAGTAGTTTGGGGGCACTCTAAGAGTTAAGATAATTGTGACTTAGGACTGGTTATGGTTTGCAAAGGCCACATAGGGAGAGATTTCACAACGAAAATACAACTCCCTTATCAACAAGAACGTGAGAGAGAAAAAGAAATATAAGATCCAAAATAAAACTTAATACATGACACATCTTCTCTCAACAAGCTAAATTCTGATGTAATGTCTATATATTCTAACCATTCAGGTACCTCGTGAACCCAGTAGGCAAAAGTTTT